GGAGAAGCGCGAGGCGATGGCGTCGGAGCCGCACAGAAACCGTGAGGCGCTGGCAGAAGTGGAGTCCCAACTGCGCGACCGCGCATCCCGCGTGGCTGCCATGAAGAAAGCGGTGGACGCGCTGCGCGCCGATGAGAATGAGGCTGTTCGTGCCCGTAATCCTTATTTGGAAACGAACGAAGTGAGGTCGATGCCTCTTCGACTCCTTGGGTTGGAAGACGATCATCGTGCAAAGTTGTTGAGACGACGTCGTCAGCGTTTGTTGACCTCTGAAGGTAGGACATCAGTAGAGGAGGTTGACCTTCAGTTGAGGGAAAATTGCCTTAATTTGGCTCGAAAGGTTTGTTCTGATGAAGATGAACTCCGTAAGGAATTTGGAGTTGCAGGATATCTGCAACCTATGAGTGGAAGCTTTTTGTACGAACTTAATGTTACCGAGGACGATAGAGTGGCGTTGCTTGCGGAGAGAGCGGAACAACTTTTGCAAGCAGATGGTGAAGACTGTCTGAAAGATGTAACTGCTGTTCGAGCAGATATTCAAGCCAGGGTTAATTGTCTTATGGAATGTTTTCTCTCTGCGGAACGGCAATTTGCTGAAGAGTTGAGTGAATTACGGGCTGAGTTTCCTATGTGTTCTCGGGATATTAATCCTGCTGTTCGAAGTGATGATTTGTTTCTTGTTCTTCAGCAAGCTAGAGAGGAAGCCCTGTCTATTGATTGTGTAAACGTCGACACAGTGTCCACAATAGAGAAAGAACAATTTGCCCGTTCTGTTGCACTGGTAAGTGATGAACGATGTGTTCTTACGGCACTAGAAAAATACTGTAGAGCGGAGCGAGAGTTACGAAGGGCGCGAATGTCTAGGAAGACAGGGCCGTACGTCGAGCAGTTATCACAGGAAAAAGATGTTACGCAGTACAAGCACCGCCTATGGCGTTCTAGGTTGAATCGCAGACGTGTGCCTGCAATGTTGCTTTTTGGTGTTCTTGACGATGAGGACGTATCTACCGCGGATGAAGAACTATGTATATCTGCAAAGGGGGTCAATACTCTCACTGCAGAAAACTCGTATTACCTGTACTTACAGAACTGTAAAAAACAAAAGGAATTGGAGAAGAGTGTACCCGCCGTTCGGTGCATTAATGAGATGATAAAGATTCGTTTAAAACAACTAGTTTCGGATGCAGCCCAAGCGCAGCGTGCTGAAAGACGTGTTAGCGATTCCCTACACCATAAATATCCGTTCATTCGCACTTCCTTGGAAACTATTTCACAGCTTCATCTTAATATTGAGCAAGACGCTTTATTTATGCAGCTCATTAAGGAAAGACAGAAACTACAGGAACCACCGAAAGAGTTACTTGAACGGTATCCTTTTCTCTCAGCAACAATAAATGGTGTTCCCATAACACAACTTGGACTTGAAGAAGATCCGGTGTTTATGAAACTTGCAGCAGAACGCGAAGACTTAATAGGACCGTTGAGAAAAACAATGCGTTTAGTAAAACTAAAGGAAGAGGAAATACGTGAACACTGTAATCTACTCATATCTAAGGCGGTTGAGGAAGAAGCGGAGTTGCACAGAAAATGGCCGTACCTGGACCATCTTCCCGTTGATGTCCCACTGCGTGAACTGCACCTGGAGAGCTATCCCGAGTTCACGGCGTTGCTGGCGAGGCACGCGGCAGTGTGCAGCGAACCTGAACGTGCCGGTGGTGCGGAGGCGAAACGGCTGGAGAAGGCGATGCATGATCTTGCTGGCAAGATAGCCGAGGATGTGGCGGAGGCGCGCCATCGAGGGCTTGTGGAGGCGGAGAACCTGCACGAGAAGTACCCGTTCATTCCGGAGGAGCCGGCGCCAGGTGTTGCGCTTGTGGAGGTGGGTGTGCATGAAGACCCCACGTTCTGCACACTGGCGAACGAGCTGGAGGACCTGCGGACCGATCCGGTAAAGAACGCGGAGAGGATAGCTGCTATGGAGAATGCGGTGTGCGCGCGTGCGCTGGAGCTTGCAGCCATGAAACTGCACGCGACAGAGGAGGAGTGCCACAAGTACCCGTTCCTCTCGAAGCGTGTGGACGGCGTGTTGCTGAGCGATCTGCACCTTGCGGATGACACAGTGTTCCAGGAACTGGTGGAGAAGCGCGAGGCGATGGCGTCGGAGCCGCACAGAAACCGTGAGGCGCTGGCAGAAGTGGAGTCCCAACTGCGCGACCGCGCATCCCGCGTGGCTGCCATGAAGAAAGCGGTGGACGCGCTGCGCGCCGATGAGGACGAGGCTGTTCGTGCCCGTAATCCTTATTTGGAAACGAACGAGGTGAGGACAGTGCCGTTGCGCTTTCTATCTTTCATGGGTGATGCTAAATTTAGGGAGTACTACAGGAAAAGGGTAGTCGCATTATCTGGTGAGACAATAGATTGGGAGATTGTTCGTATATATGATGATCTTCTTCAGGAGCGAGTGCATGATATTGCTTCGAATGAACTAATGAGGTGTGAGAAAGTTTGTAATTCTTTTCAGCAACGTGGTTTGTCGGGTAATGCTATTGGTACCTTGTTGGGTTGCTTGTATTGGAACTCGAATGAGATTGTGGAAGAAATACTGCAGAGTAATGCATCTGGAATTAATCTTAAGAGTCAGGTAAATCGACAAGGTGTAGCACTCGCCGAAGTTGAGCGAAGTATCGCGGTAGAAGTCGATTCATTACGTTTATCGTATCCCATGTGTATTAGAGATATAAATCATGCTGTAAGTTTTGATGAAAATTTTCAAATTCTTGAGACAGATCGGCAAGCATTGTTGAATAAATTTCTAAATGTGAAACCGATTGAGTCGGTTGAAAAAGATGAAAGGAAACGTAGTATTGAATTACTGGACGATGATCGTTGTGTTGTGATAGCTGCTGAAGCCTGCCAAACATCCAAGAATAAGCGTTTAGAAGATTTGAGTAAAGATGAGTTGATCGCACGGTGGCGTCATTCTTTATTATCACAGCGCTCCAGGCGTCGTGTTGTGACGTTTATTGATATTGCAGAGGAAGAGGTAGGACGTGAACGGCGACGTTTGCCTGCGTTTCAAAGGAAAAAGAAACGAACTTCTTCTAATAGCTATTCTAATCTTTCTTTTAGAGAGGTTCCAGACAATGTTTACATGGAGATCAAGGAAAAGAATGTTGATCTTGGATCTTCGATGAATAGCAATCGTACCAGTCGAATCTTTAGTGAAGGCACATCCCGGTGTGATTACCCTGGAAATGTTGAATTAGACGAGAACACACCAGAATCCCCCAATAAAATGAGGCGTACTTTGTTACTTCGTCGTTTGCGTGCTCATCGACCTTCTGCTGGATTATCAGTGGATGCTATTCCAGATCTTATTGCCTATCAAATCGCAGAGGATGGTACAATATCACAGATAGGTGGTGAAAGTGGTACTTCACTTCTCCCTATAACACAAGTAGATTCTAGTTGTTTGCAATCCGGTGATGGAACTTCTGTTTTACCTGCGTCACCTTTAGGATTATTGGATGATGTATCTCCTTTACGTCCAGGTGTATCATCTAATAAGGATGAAAAGAGGAAGAGTTTATTGCCAAAGAAGAAATCAAAGGTACGACACGGTAAAGGTAGTAGTATTTCTCAGTGTAATATGAGTGAAATTCCTTATATACAGGCTGGGGAAGTAGTAGAACGGGGTACGGAAAGTCTTGATCATCATAGTAAAGATTCTCGAGGAAGGACAGAATTGCAAAAACAACAACAACAAGAAAAAATGTTAAGACGTTTATCTGGATCTAGTCGAACCCAAAGGAAGCATCGTAAAAGTGCGAATACCTCACTTACTATGTCAGCTGTTCCTGATCTTGAAGGTATGTATGTAAAGGATGAAGAAGCTGAATCTCCACCGAAACGGCGACAAGAGAGAGGTGTACAAAAAGCTCCAGAAATAAAAACAAAAACTAGACGTATGGGAACAGCACGAGAAAAAGAAAATCTAACTGCCTTAACAGAAGAACCTGAAATATCCTTTGAACCTGTGCAAGAGCAGCCAAAGGATGATCAAACGAAATCACCTATGAGTGCTGTGTTTGCACGTAATATGATGAATGATGCACGACATCATGACTTGAGTATATCAGCCTTGCCCCACCCATTAGTACCAGTACCACCATCGGTTCTTACTCCAGTTGAAAAAAAAACAACAACAACAACAACAACAACAACAGGGACAATGCCATCCACTACTGCAGAAGAAAGTTTGGCAATGGGTGCAACACGACAACGTCCAGCAAAACGTCCAAGTGGAAAGAAACGACGTGTGAAGTCAAATGAGAGGAGGGGAACTTTGACGATATCACAGTTAGAGGATCTTGGAGCAGGTGAAATACATGATACAATGGAGTCTGAACTTTCCAATGCTAGACGAGTTAATTCATTATCATCACCAGGTGATAGTAGTCCTGATAAATTACGTTCTTCTCGTCGTTTACGTGGATTTTCACGACCACATGAATTAATATCTCAGGTGGAGGATAATGAAGTTTCTTGTATTCAAGATGATGTGGATACCAAACCTACTACAATCGTAAATAGACGCCGTTGTTCTTTTAGTACTTCATCTATTATTCCTCTTGATCGTCGTGAAGAGAGAGAATTAGAGCGGGAACGACGATTTATATCTCAAATTTTAAGTAAAGCCCGACCTCATATGTCACGAAATACAACAGAGGAAGAAATAGAAAGTGATCCAGCGGCGATGGCATTGATATTTAAACATGAAGATTTGTCGCAGATATATACAATGCGCCGAGTTCCCATTGCTACTGCATATATGAAGGAAATAGAAGATGCCATTATTCAACGTATTATTGATTTATCAAGAGAAGCCATTTTACCAGGAGCTTCACTTCGTGGAAGAGGTTTACGTCAAGCACGTCGACAAGAACTTGCTAAACGTGCAGCAGCAACAGCATCCTCATCATCAAAGGTAGACACTACGAACAATAATAATAATAATAATAACAAGAGTTATAATGAGAGTGATAAACCTATGTTTGATGTAAATAACCCACTTTGTGTACCACAACCATGGGCACATATCTCTGATGAGGAATTAGGGCAGAATGAAGAATTACATAATCTTTTAGATGCCCGAAATAGAGGACGTGGAAAAGAGGTTGAACCCTTTTTACGTGAATGGGCAAAAAAGAAAGAAAAGGAGAATGAAGAAATATTTAATGAATACCCTTTTCTTCCTCCACTTCCGCATGGTGTCCCTCTTAGCGAAATTGGTTTTATTCAAGATGATGAATTCAAACGATGTTTAGCAGTATATGCATTAAATCACGATGATGAAAAGATTAAAAAGGAAATGTGTGATATTGTAAATTATATGGCTAAAGAAAGAGCACAATTACGTAATCGTAGTAGATCTAAACAAGTATCTTTTGTAAGACGTGTACGAGCTGCTTGTAATGCGGCTTCTCCTACTGGTCCTGGTCCTAGTGGTGCTTCTTCTCCTTATGATGATGATGCTGCAGAGAGACCTCGAAGGTTTTCAGCAAAATATAGTGATGGTGCTGATAAACTCCCTAACTTTAGAGATGAACAACACTATATTCAATTTGTAACCCAATGTAAGAGTGATTCTATTCGTCTTCTTAAACGTCTTATGGTTCGAATGAAGAAGGAACAAACAGCGGATATTCCTTTAAGTATAGAAGATATTGAAACTTTCCGTTACTTCTTTGATGCTGTGGATGTAGGAAACTTTGGTGTATTAAATCGAAATGACTTTGTAGACTTTGTCATGTTAACATTATGTGAATCCCTTTCAATGACTCGACGTGAAGTAGAACAATTAACATTTCCAAACACACCAGTGGATCGACTTCCACGAGTGGTGGATTTCAGTGATCTTTCCAAATTCTATAAATCTCTCGCATTAAGTGAGGTAAAGAAGCAAGACAGCCGTTTTCCTGAGGAAACACCATGGTCCGTAAATACCCAACTCACAAATACACGTCCTGCTCAAGCTTCCAAACATATTATTGGATCAAACACGGAGGGTCAAAATAATAATAAGAATAATACTAATACTAATAATAATGGTACTAATAATACTAATACTAATAATGGTACTAACAAGAGAGGTCAAAGCGTAGATGCAGCACCCCGTTCCGTTGGGTTCGGTGCTGGTGCGTGGAATAAATCCACACCATTGCCTGAAATTCCCTCCCATCTCCGTCGGCACACACATGCCCCGAACCCTGTAAATGAACCCATTCGCCCTCTTCTCCCCCAACGCCCAGCCACTTCATCCAAACGTGAGGGGAGAAAAGAAGAAAAGATGATGTTGTCGCCCCGACACTTACCGCATGCACTGCCGCCGCTTCCACAGATCGTGGGCAGTAGTGATGTGCCTGTACACAGAGAGGCGTGGGTTGGCTCGCGGGGATCCTCTGAGGAGCAGAAGGAATCAGGAAATGGGAACAGTGAGGAAAAGGTAATCAAACGAGAAGAAGAACAAGGACAAGAAGGAAATTATAAAAATGAGAAACAATGAAAAGGAAAAAAAAATAATAATAATAAGGGAAATCTAGACGGGATTGATGAATGAGGAAAAGTAAAAAAAAAAAAAAAAAAAGGGGGGAGGGGGTGGGGGGAGTGAAAAAGAAACACCTCTCTGTGTGTTTATTTTTTTATTTTTACCATTCTTATCTTTCTGAGAAGAAAAAATGGAAATGGTAATGATAATTTTTTTATATATAGGGAGGGTGGGGTATATTTCAAGTACCGGGAAAGACAACAAATAAATAAAAAAAAAAAAGAAATTCTTTGCTATTGGACTCTCATTAATTAATATCATAATATTATTGCTATTATTGTGCTACTTTATCTTCTGGGTATTACAGATATTTTTTTTTTCTCTCTCTCTTCTACTCTTTTTTTATATATATATATATATATACACACAATATGATGAGGAAAAGGTAGGTGAGGGTGGGTTTCTTGTTGTTATTAGTAGTATTAGTATTAATAATAATAGTCTTGTAGTAACTATGAATCTCTCAAACTACATGTCTACTATCATGTCAGAGGCGCGGCAGTTCGGCAAGGCTTATGTGGACTCACTAGTTTCACCAGGAGATGGAAAAGATCACGAAACCTCTAATGGACTTGTGAGAGAAAAGAGGAATAAAGAAGAAGAGGAAGTGGTAGTAGCTCCCTCTTTCTCCTCAATCTCACATTGTAGAAATATTGGAACTTTCAATGACAGGAAAAGCAATGATAAATATAATACTATGAGTAGTAGTAGTAATAATAATAATAATAGTGGTAGTAGTAGTAGTGGTAGTGGTAATAATTCCTATTCACTCTCTCAAAAAGGTCCGTTGATGGCAAATGGTGGAAAATTTTCTGTATCATCTTCTCATCCTTCACCTTTGATGGTTGATCTTGATACACCTCCTCTTCCTCCTCCTCCTATTACTACTACTAGTGATAATACTACTAACACTATTACTACTACTACTACTACTACTACTACTATGAGTGTTCCTGAGGCAGTGATGTTAACAACTGGAGTTCGAAAGAATATAGGGAAAAAAACAAAGGCGTCTCGATCTAAATTTGGGGCAGTGAAGATTGAGTTGGAGAGTATGGATCATCATAAACCCTCTGTAATGCCTACTTCTTCAACTCCTGTACAGATATCGCATGAACCCCCAAAGTCTTTTAATGACAACAAAAGTAACAACACCAGTATTGATAAAGAATCTTTACAGGCATCACAAGAAACAACTTTATTAAAAGATGTTTCCACTAACAACAACAACAACAACGAAAACGAGAAAAACGAGAAGAAATTAAAGAATTGGTTTAAAAAACGAGATACACTTTTGCATCTTCTTTATAAAGATCTAGATAAAAGAGCGAGACCTCCATTATCTGAATGGGCACAAAACGTTATTCGAGATTTTGTTAAAAGAATCATGGAAGTAGCCCTTAACTTTGTTGTGAATGATAAGACTCTTCTTCTTAATAGTAAATCAATAGTATCCACTTCTTTAGATATCAGTTTAGAAGAAACTTGGCGAAATTCAGAGATTGTATTTCGATCATCTTTAACACATGCTATTCCTCCAGAAGTGTTTACCCCATTAAACATTTCTAAATATGATATCTCTACAACTAATAATACTAATACTAATAAAACCAATAGTAATAGTATTACTATTAGTGGTAATGTTAATGCTATTTCCCGTTCTCTGGAATCCTATTCTAAAGAAGGAACCTCATGTTTACATCAGGCACTTTGGAATGCCGCACAACGAGCCCAGCAATGGTGTGGGGAAGGACATCTTAAGATGTTATTAATACCATCATCACTACGCTCTATAGATACAGTGGAAAGAGGAATAACAGAGTTTTTGGATTCCTGTTTTGGACCCATCTTATTTCTAACAGCTGAATATTATCAAAAATGGATTCAATCACATCTCTCTCTACAAGAGATGGAAAAAGAAAAGGAAAAAGAAAAAGATAGTGAACTTGAAATATGGGCTAAAGAGATGATGAGAATATTCTCTCTGGCCATTATGGAGGTAGATGTGCAATCGCAACAGATGATCTCATTAGATGTTCATGTGGAGAAGAGAAATCGTGAAAAGATTGAAATGAGTTCCCACACATCTCTGCAGGCCGCTGTGGAGAAGGGGACCTCGGCACTTTGGTTAATGCGAGAGGCAACACTGTTGACAGTCTTGTTCGTTCGTGTTCTTCGTATTGGTGTACTCTGCGAAGTGGAATAATGAACAATGGAGAGAAGAAAAAAAGAAGTATGGGGGAATTGAGGAAAGAAGAGAGTAACTGAGCCCCTTTTTCTTTCTTGTTATTATTATTATTATTATTATTATT